TTCAGCTGTCAAATGTGCCCTTGCCAAACCCTATGAGAATTTCCTGAAGGATACTTTACAGCATTGGAGATTCTGCATATTCTCGTCGAAAAAGAACTGCCGAATTTAAAAAATGGAACAGTAAAAGAGCAGTTAATTTTGGAACGAAGTTGTCCGTATGGTGTGTCAGAAGTTTGGAATCAAAGTACAGCATTCAGAAGAAGCGATGCTAAAGAGTGGTCTTTCCTTGTAGAGCTCTATTGCTCAAACACAACTCATATGACCCTTACAATGCGGGTCATGTGAATGGACTCACGCATTGGCGCAGGATCCTAGCGCAAAAGAGTCGTTGGCAAGGAGGTGCGGTGGAAGGTGACCATCAAGGTGGAAGGAGTGAGCTGTCGCATTACTTGCCGCCTCCGAAGCCGTCGATGATCCCTGCCCTCGACTTGCGTTGTCTGGAAGTCTGGAACCAATCAAAAGTTCCTGTCATCACTGGTTCAATGCCTAGATCATTCTAAGCCAAGTATTCCTTATATTTAGGAATTTAATACAATAGAAGGATCCAAAGTCGTTCCAACACCATTGATAATAAAAAAGCAAAAAAACCAAGTATGAAACACTCAAGCTACCTATGACAAAGTTGCTATTCGACATCTTATATCATGCAGGCTCATGCAATAGTGAAATTAAAATTGGAAGGTGGTGAATGTACGGAAATGAATCACATTCAAGAAATCATTATGTCACAAAATAATATAAGCCAGAAAAACATTTAGAGAATTTGTACTGGTCTTAAGTGATAGTCAGACAGAGATGGTGCAGCAGCGAAGTAGTCAGCAGGGTTTACAGCCGCCCTAGCTTTAGACATCGTTTGGGATATTTAGAAAACCAGATTCACTCTTACTAAGTAGTCCATAATTCAGAGTAAAAGACATCGTTGAAGGGAGAGATAAATACACCAATTAGAACTAACTAATAATGAATTGATGAGAAATTTTAGGACACTTCAGCGCACTTTACCACTACCAAAAGACTAGATTATAGTTGATGGAACCATTAAAAAAGTGAAGGTAGAGATCAGCAATTCGGGACAAGTACGCAGGGGATAGGAGCTGCATTTCAGACGTCCTTAAAAGGAAGACGCCACCAATGTTGTATCACATGTAAGCGTGTACGTGTGTGAGTATATTGAGTCCAAAACATGTGACGACTTCACAAGACCAAACAAAAGCTTTTCCAAAGACAAATCCCTCGATAACCCCTGTGCAAGGTTGGCGAATTATTTTTGTTAAAAAACTATACATTGGCAACAATAATAAAGATGCTGCAGTATGCCAGTAAAAAGTTCAATGTAAGGCAAAATAAAAATTGTTACAATTTCAATCATGATGACAAGAGGATCTGACTTGTTAATGAAACCAAGTGCCAAGGATCGACCTGTTTATCAACTAGACCCATAGGTCCAGTACGAGCTGATAGTTGAAATAAGTAACATGGGTGCATACACACGCCTGTAGTGAAGAGGGAAAAAAGATGACACCAAGCGCCAATGAATGCATTATTTACATTCCTCCCTGTATTCACAATCAACCACTGTGATATGATTGGAGGGTCTGCATAACGGATAAACTTTCGAGGTAGCGCGTCCGGAGATGCAGCCTGTTACCTAGCTGGGCCTTCAAATCAGTAAAATAAATCAGTCTGTAAATGTCTGAGACAAATATTATTTATTAAACCAATGCCTACAGAGGTCAGTGGTGAGAAGAAAAATATGGAATGATGAAGTTTTTTGGAGGTCGCCCATAATATCAACGTTGGCGGGGATATCAAAACACATTAGATAACGGTAGGAATAAAAGCGTCCAAATGGATAATGTCAACAAGTTTTGTGAGCCGTATAAAAGAAAAACCTGTAAACTGTATCAACTCTAGGGTTGTAAACGCATAAAATACAGCTCTCATCAAAATAGATGAGGCAGAATCGGAACATGGGGATAAAAGTTGCAGCCAACTTCATCTAGGCAACTATCATTAATACATTTATTACCGTGCTGCATGAGCCCCTAGGGACCCAGACGGCAAGAGCAAGTGACAAACAGGCAGCCCAGGCCACGCTAAAAGCGCACACCACTGTCGGTGGACGCAGTGAAGTTGAGACAGCATCTAAAGGCACACTAGGTGTTCCAATTAGAGTACCATTTTGAGACACAACAAATGTTTGCAAAATACGAGTATTTTTAGAATTTTTAGATAAGCTAAAATATAAAAATAATTAATTGTCACTAGAGTGCTGTAATATAGCCACCCACTTGCCATTTACCATTTCACCGCACAGTAGGTCAGGAAGATGAAAATAATTGAGAAAGTAGATCATCAGCACTGTAAAATTAGTAACTCACTCTAGTTCCAGCGGTCCCAAGACGTCAACAACCTAAAATGGGAAAAAAACGGTTAACGAATGCTTTACAAAGCGGAATAACAATAAGAAGCTATATTAATCGTAAAGCCACTGGACTACCAGAAAAGCTTCTACAATGAACGCTCAAACCATAAGCTAAGTTTGTTGTTTACGCTTGTGCCTTGTTTATGTTGACTGGATGAATTCGATGCAAGAGATTTGAAATTATGCACACAGCAGGCAGATTGGAGGAAGTTACGAAGTTCTTGTTATGGCCTTGCATAGCTGTAAAGGAATCCTTTCCATACCACGAATGTTGTAATAAGTAAGCATGCATGATCGAATGCGTAAAATTGCAATAAAGAACAAGGTGTCCATTATAACCTGCTCCTAGCTATTAGTTGTATAGGAGAATGCAAAATCGGGATTCGCTAATGAATCTTGTGTGCAAACAAAGCAAATCCTGAATACGCTAATGCATAAAATACATATATTAGGCGGAGTATTAAAAATACGGTAATAGAGAAGTGTGGACCTTCTTATGTGAGAGTATGGATTAAAGTGGAATCTTCAACATAGCAATGGTGTTTACCGAAGGATCACCGTCGGTAATAGATCCGTTCAAGGAAATAGCATTGTCTAGAAATCCAACCTGTAGGGAATCCACCTTCCCGCCATACCTTCGACGCCTCTTGGCAGGAGTCGAGCGATCCCCTACGGCTACACATCCATCCCCTTCCTCACCTAAGGAAGGTAGAGGGAAAGGAGAGGCACCAGTATCCGGCAAAAGCATGAGACCAACGTTGTCAGAAAGTGGCGAGGGGCTACGCGCGAGGCTGCTACCACCACAACTGCTCAGGGTACGCCTGCGTAGGTGACGTGTAGAACTCCGTAGCAGAACCGAACGACGAAGGTCCGCTGCTGGATTGGACGCGGTGACAGCGATGGGAGAAGGATATTCAGCAGGTGCGCAGGGCGCCGCGATTGTCGGAGTGACAGCAGCCTCAGGGCATGGCGACTCAACGCTGGGGACCTGGTATTGAGCCGTAGCCTAAAGGTTAAATAAGGATAGCTGATCAGCAAAATTAAAGCTGCTTCATGTCCAACAAAACGAAATCCTTAAGATTTCATAAGCGATACGTTCAAATTCATTGATTCTTAGAAGATTAATTGAGTGTCAACTATTTCAGCCCCACATCCATTGGGGAATTCAGTGCAGACGCGTACACCTCAAAAAGGACTCAGGTTCTATTTTGCAGAAAACTCTAGGTCATTTCAATTTGAGAAGTAACCAAGTGCACTGATAATCAGTCCAGGACCAAAGTCAACCAGCCATTACATTCGCGAATGACTGAATTCGCCCAGATAGACAGCTTCAGTGCTTTAGCCACCTGGCGCATACGTATCTACTGTATCCCCTCACTTAGTGAGTCGATAATAGAAACATCAACTCCAAAGCCTTTTCCGTCGCTCAGCATATTGTCGGTTAAATGGGATCAGGTGTGGCATGCAAAAACGGAAACTTATAATGCAAAAGTTGGCAGCAGTTTGTAGCAGGATTGCTTCAAGAGATGCAAAAGATAGCACTTTGTACGAGATCATGATGTGATGGAATTGCAAACACTTTCCTTGGGCTCATACCACACACTTGCTACGAATGATGACATGAGAAACAAACCTCGAGTCGTGAGGACCCTTTGGAAAATGAACTTACACATTTGAGACTGCCATGGATTAACGAATCCCGTCAGTATACCAAGCATACTTTATCATTCCAAAGCTAAAAATACATCTAAGGTGAAGTATAAGCGGATTAAACAGCAACACACAGAAGACATTCAAAACATCCAATGTATTTGGCTACAAACAAAGCACACGAAGGAAAGACGCGATCCATATTGAATGGCCCTCCCCTACAGGGCACCTAGGTGGCGATGACGTAACCGTCCCGCCAAGTGTATATCATGTGACGGCGCGGTAGGCTGACTTCCGCCCCCAAGCCAGGGCGTCAGAATACAGA